CTATTCACAACTTGGTAAGAACCTCTTACTCTCTTGTGATTTGGCTTTGTTTCAATTCCTTTCCTTTTTTAAAGTTTTCCTTACAATCCCCCTAATTGATTCTAAAATGCCTCCGAATTCCTCCGAATTACCTTTTAATTACCTCTCAATTTTCCCCTACTCATTTCTTCTCATAATTACCTAAATGGCTTCGAATTCCACTCTATTCCTCCTCTCAATTGCCTAAACGTTACCCTTATTTATACCCAAAATTGAGCTCCCTATCGCTACCAATTTTTGGCCTTATATAAATAAAGCCAAAAACATTTATGCTTTAAAATCATGCCTTATGTTTTGCTTATTTTTGGGGTATGTGTTATATAGGTTAGTGCAGGTTGCAAGAGCCATAAATACAAGATTTACATGAATTACAGGATCTTTGTCCCTCCGGACACCGATAAGATGAACGAGTGCTAGAGGGTAGTATGGTACAGGGCATGCATGATATGGCTAGATTTTAAGAGCATCTAGATAACGAGGTTGTTCGGATTAATTTTGAATTGGTCTTGTCATCTCGCTTCCGTATATCAAAATTATGTCCTTCTAAGCTTAGATTTATTTCAATTGTAACCCTTAGGTGAGTCATTGTAGTCTCCGAACTTTTAATTTTTTTTAGTTAGGTGAATGTACCGGTAATTTTAGTACTCGTAGTTTTCAATTGCTTCAATTGCACCTTCAATTACTCTAATTATAATTCTATTTGATTCAATTATTCCCCTAACATAATTAAATTTTATTTGTGTTTTTATATTTTTTGTAATTTTTATTCTTTATTCTTTTCTTTTCTTTTCTTTTCTTTTCTTTTTTTTTTTTTTTTGGTAAATTCTAATAATGAAAATAAATATAAACATAAGATAAAATAATAAAAAAAATGTAACAACTTTAAGGGGGAATTTGGGTTATAACAACACAGATTAAAGATATGCATAGCAACATAACTTAAAGGAGATGCATGATGACACAATCTAAAGATATGCATGAAAACATGGCTTAAAAGATATGAGTATTAAACTTAACAAAAATAAAAATAGGGTGACATGAAAAATCATGCAAAGTCAAAAAGGAAATAAGCAAAACACAAGTAACAATCTTACAATCTTTAGAGAAGCATAGATTGTTACTCGTCAAGACATGAATTTCCTTCTTTTTTCTCTTCACTTATGAGTCATCTAGCTTCGAATAAGTTCAAAGTGTTAGACTAGTTGCTTTCATTGAGTTTGTTTACTTATTTATCGCAATTACGATTATGCACTTTGTTTTTGTGTTTATTGGGAGGGTTGCTTGGACCACTACTTATGTCATTTGGGTGGTGTTCTTTGTTTTAATTGAATGAGAGATCACTCGTTCTTTTATGGCCTAATTGGTACTGTCTCTAAATGTTCGGACTTTCACCAACACCTATCAAGAATTCGGCTCCAAAATGATTGAGATAGATTTTTGTCTCGCCTATCCACAATTCATCATAAAAAATCTTATAATAGCTTTCATAGAGAAAGATCTCTTGTCAACCAAGTCCAAGTAAGACTCTTGTCAAGTCGAGCATATGCTAATTTAATGCAATATCACATTTCATGAATAATATCAATCATAAGACCATGCATGAGACTAAGAGGTTTTTCTTTTTAAGGACTCGGTCATACTTATGAAAATAAGCGTTTTTTTCAAAAATTAAAGATCTTGAATCATATTATGTTGGAAGAATTAAGTATGGAAGAAGTAAAGTCAAATGATCGTGTTAATGAATATTTGACCATAACTCGATTATCTTTTTTCATCACCTTGGGCGAAGAGAGTTGAAATGCTCAACCTTCTAATGTTAAAATAATTTTCCAACTAAACCGATCATACCATGATCTCAAGCGTAGGTAGTGATCATTCATTTGTCATCTCCCTCTCATTATTATTGCTCATGCCATCATCTTCTTTTGACGTTTGCACTTGATTTTGTGAATTTGTCTTTGAGGTTTTTTTGAATTCTAAAAAATAATTTTTATTTGTTTTGAATTTCATGGATTAGGCCATCTATTTGAAAGATTTTCATTTAGAAAAGTTAAATTATTAAAAAGAAATCATAGAAAGGTGAGAATATTTAAGGTAGGAAGTTGGATTAAAAGTTTAGAGACTTCATACATGATGTTTAATAAACTACGGTAGCTTATTATTTGGATTTACCAATTATTTAGCATATCAATATATAATTTTAAAGGTTAAAAAACTCTAATCGCTCTTGAATTCTAAGTCATTTGAGGTTGAGTTTCTTAAGTTTTTATTAATTTTGAAATCTCTAAACTTTTAATATTTTTTTTCACATTTAGCTCATCCTTTAGTTTTCTATTTTTTATCTCTAAAAATAACAATCACATAATTTTTTTTATTATTATTATGAAAATTATTTATTAAGATTTATGTGGAGATTCTCAAAAAAATTTGGGATCATTTTGGATTTATTTTCTATTTTTCTTGATTTTCTATATTTTTAATGTTAAAAAAATTATGAAACATTTTTACAAAAATGGATTGAATTTTTTTTCAACATGTGTACAAAATTTCAATTCAAAATACAAAATTGATTTTTTTTTTTTTTTTTTTGCGAGCGAATATGATCGCTGAAAATCATTGAATGGATTAACTCTCAAAAAATTAAAAGTTCAAAGATCTCCAAAACTAGTGAAAAAAAAGTCAAGATTTCAACATCAAATGACTTAAAGTTTAGAAATTGTTAGACCCTTTTAGCTAATTTTAATTATGAAAATAATATCAATGATTAAAAAGAATATAGTGGTGATTTGATTTCAATTATTTTTTTAATATAATTTCTAGATTAAGATAAATGTAGGAATGATATTTTGCAAAAAAAAATAAAAATAAAAATAAATAAAAATTCTTATATTACCAACCAAACATAGAAATTATACTTTACCGAAATCTCTCTATCAAGAATCAGTTTCTCAAAAACATAATTTCAAGGACAAAATTTGCATTCTCTAAACCAAATGCCATCATAATGTTTTCTAGATAAACAAAAATAAATATGTCAGAAGGATATAAAAATTTCAAGGACAAAATTTTTGATGTTTCTAATAGGGTCGAATATTTCATTAGATGTCAAGTGCCAACCATAGGTTCCCATTTTTTAGGTCGACATGGACAAAATACATATGATAAGAACTAATTTATCTATATAGTGAGCACTTATTTTTTTCATATATAGAATTTTGAAACTCGTATCAGTTGTTAAATTCATAATCTTTTGTATGTGTTAGTAGAGAAAAAAAGATTGCATTACCACAACGAACTTAATTGGTCACCATTACAAAGACAAAGAGCTATTTTAGTCTCCTATTGTAATAAGCTTTTTTCTACAAAAAAAAAAAAAAAAAAGTTTAGATACTCTAAATGGAGCATTTGAATGGTTTAAAGGTAAATCTTAGCCCCCATTCTATTGCAATTTGGTAATTTTAGATCCTTAATATCAAATTACGTAATTTAAATCTAAACTATTGATTTTTGAGCAAAATTGATATAATTTTTTTAATCACTATTATATTTAACGGTCAATACTTGGAATGCCAAAACGACGTCGTTTTGGCATTTTGCTATTAATTATGATTTTTTATTTTAAAAAAATATTTTAAAAATATTTCTACCCTTTAATCTTGAACTTTTAAAAAAAAAAATCCTTATAAATTATTATAAAGATTTTATAAATTATATAAAAAAACATTTTATAAATATTTTTACCCCCTAATTTTAATTTTTCTTAAAAAAAATTTTATAAACATTTTATATAGAATTTTTTTTATAATTTATAAAATTAGGGGGCTCAACCCTTAATTATGCTCATTTCGATTTATAAAATATATATATATATATATATATATATTAAGACCTAAACTCATGTATTGTTAATTATGTTTTTTTATAACTTTTTTAATAAAATGTTTATAATATCCAATGAACATTAAATTAATTATAATATTTAATACATTAAAATGAGAATAATTAATGGTTGACCCTCCTAATTTTATAAATTATAAAAAAATTATAATATTTTATAAAAAAATTCAAAAGTTGAGGGTTAAAAATATTTTTAAAATGTTTTTTATATAATTTATAATATTTTATTTAAAAAAAGTTCATGATTAGGGGGTTAATTTTTTTAAAAAAACATAATTAATAGTGAAATACCAAAACAATATCGTTTTAGCATTTTAAGTAATGGTCAACCCAATTAGTCGTTATATATAACAACAATTAGAGAAATTGGATTCATTTTGTCCAAAAATCAATTGTTTTGGATTCAAATTATGTGATTTGATATTAAAAATTTAAAATTATCAAATCACTATAAAATGAAAATAAAAATTATTATTAAACTACATTTGAACTGATAATCTCTTGTAAGTACAAAAATTTCACTACTACTGTACCATAAACCTACTGGTATCTAGGGAGCACTTGATCCACTACATGACTAATGGATGGTGATGTGGTAAAATTTTCAAAAGTATTAATTATGGCCAACGGAGCATTGGAAATTCACTAGACATAGGTGGATTCGATTGTCTCTGTTCATAAATTTATATGAACTCAATTTTTGCTGTATTGGAATAATTTTTGCTAATCTAGTAAGTACTTAGTACATAATCATGCTAATCCACGCATTTAATTACCAATTCAATGGACTAAAATAAGGGTTCCAAGGACACAACAAACTAACCTATAATACTGGGTCCTGGTTACTCAAAAGGATTACTGCCCACTCGTAAGAGACGGAAACGCTAAACTTCACATCACAAATACTTAAAATGAGTCCACGTGGCATTTTAAATGCAAATTTCACTCTCTTCCTTCTTATATAAAGCGGCGTTGATGGTTTTAAAAATAAAATACAAAACTGAAGCTTTGCCCAAAAACCAAAAAAAAAAAAAAAAAAAAAACTATATATAGATATATTGAAAATGGCAAGACTAGCCTTAACCACCGTCTTTCCCAAGTGTGGTCTACTTGGTGCTGCAGTGATTAGGAACCCATGGAGCTCTAGGGTTGCAATCCCTATAACAAGACGTTTCCAGGTAGATCAAGTCACCGCACTAGCAATGTGATGTAATTTTTGGTTAACTGGCGTTGAGTGTAGGATATTAATTTTGTGTGCAATTGCAGGCAAGTTCTCGCAAGGAGGCTTCATCAGCTGGCTTTGAAATGGCACATAAGGATGCAAAACAAGTAATTAATGAAGCAAAGGCGACTGGCGAAGCTGTAGCCGAAGATGTAATAAGAAAATCACAGCATTAATTGGAAAATTAACTTGTATGATTGTTGATAATTTAGCTGCTTAAATGTTTGTCAATTTGGACTGATCTTTTTAACTACTTGATGATGAGTAGGTGACCCAGAAAACAAAAGAGGTTGCTGGAAAGGCATCAGAGGCTGCAAGTGACCTAGCAGACAAGGCAAAACAAACTGCTCAAGATGCCTGGGGAGCTGTTAAGGATACCACAACAAAGATCAAGGACACAGTAGTAGGCAAAGCTGAGGAATCAACAACAAAGATCAAGGACACAGTAAAAGGCAAAGCTGAGGAATCAAAGGAATTCGTCAAAGATAATGCAGAGACAATCAAGCGCAGCATGAACACCAAAAATTGAACTTTATAATAGTCTCTGATGTTGTGCGTCATTTCATCAAGTTCAAATCCCTTAATTCTTGCTTATTTGTTGGTAATTTTCCCCCCATTTTATTTTATCCCTTTCTTTTTCCCATATAGATTTATATCACAAGTACCAGGCTTATAGGCACCGGTATGTGACATTTGTAAGACGATAAATTACTTCTATATTCTGTTAATAAAGTGCCATGCTTTTTGTTTGTGTACTCCATTTTGCCATTAATAAGACTTCGTTATTCTCCATGCTAGGAGAACATATAACCCTTTTTTTCTGTATCTTTTTATATTTAATATATTGATCGACTTTTATAAAATGAAATAAAAAAAAGGTAAAAAAAATAAAAAATTGGAAGATTCATATAACCATTGGTGAAAATCGCTATGTTCCCTTATTATTATTATTATTATTATTATTTGACGCACACCATATTAAAACTTCATCCAGAAGAAGAAAAATTAACCACACAATGGCTCGCTTCACCAATGGCGTATTTTCATTAATAAACTCGTTGATCATGATCTTAGGGTTTGCCTCCATCGGTGCTTCTGCTTATCTATGGCTGCATCACTCTTCCTCCTTGTGCCAAAAAGCCCTACAACTCCCTTTATTCATACTGGGTGTTTCTTTATTTGTGGTGTCATTGCTAGGGCTAATTGGATCGTGCTGTGAGAAAACTATTTGGATCAAGATCAATTCTTTCTTCAACTTTTTTTGATTGTGGGCCTCTTATGCTTCACCATTTTTGCATTCCTTGTCACAAACAAGGGTGCAGGCAAGGCTTTGTCAGGGATGGGGTACAAGGAGTACAGGCTTGGGGATTATTCAAATTGGTTGAAAAATCACTTTGTGAATGCGAATAATTGGGATGAGATCAGGAGCTGTTTGATGGATGCTTATGTTTGCCAATCTTGTTAGTATTAATCCTCATGTCAATCAACAGGTTGTGGATTTTTACAAGGCTAAATTTTCTCCATTACAGTCTGGTTGCTGAAAAGCCTCCAACAAACTATGGATTCGAATATAAGAATGCAACATTTTAGATAGTGCCCAAATCTGGTCTAGCAGTGCAAGACCCTGATTGCACCACATGCAGCAATGAGCAAAACAAGCTATGCTGCGACTGCAATTCAAGTAACGGTGGATTTCTTTCCAACATTAAGAAAGAATGGAGAATGTTGGCCATAGTCCTCATCTTTATCATCATTTTCCTCATCATCTTATACTCCCTTGGTTGTTGCGCCATCAAGAGCATTAATCGGTCCCATTCCAAATACTCCAAATTTGGCCCTTAACCAATCAGTCTTTTTTAATTTTTTACGCCATCTAGTTTTATTTAGTGCAATTAGTTTGTTTTGAATATTATTATGACTTTAAGTAATTAATTAGTTTGGCTTCCTAAGAACCCAGTGCATTAATGATTTACGTTGATGATGTAAATTAAATAATTTTATTTTTGTTTTGTTTCAAATTTTATCATTATGTATTCTTGATTTGTAGACCCAAATAATTTTTTATTTTTAGTTTAGAAAACAAGAGATTAATTATTATTATTATTTTTATTGTTTTTTTTTTCATATGAATCCAACCAATTCTCTATTAAACTCTTCCTTCGTCTTAGTTATGAAAATTTGTTAAGTAGACCAAACATCGTTAGTTGAGTCAAATAAAGTGTTTTGACTTGTAAAATATATGGTCTATATTTATTGAAAATAAAATACATAAAAAAAATTCAAAAGAGAAAATGAATTGAATTAAAAAGTTAAAAAGGAAAATAATAAAACATGAAAATAAAAATGAATCTATTATGTCTTAATTGAAGATCAACCGCTAAATTCTAAATACAGATAAATAAACTATTTTACTTCCTCAAAAGTCTTAATCCATCTATCAATTAAAACATAATTACAAATCAAAGTTTAAACTGAAACTTCCAATTTAAAGATGTGGGTCTTTACATCACAAAATCAAACCACGAAAATCTTCATAACATGATTAAATCTTTAAGCAAATGCCACCACCAACAACAACAACACACAACCAACTCCAACAAAAATTCTTCACTAAAATGAAACGTATGATCAGTTGTTGACAACAAAATATAACTTTAAGAGACTGATATTCATCCATGAACGTTTTCAGTGGTAATTCTGACAAAAATTCTAATGAAACATGGACGATAATAATAAATATTTTTATAATTTTCATCATCATCATCATCATCATATATATATATATATATATATATAGTATATATATATATATATATATATATATATATATATAAAGTTTTTTTCTTAAATTATTTTTTTAATTTCCATTGGAAATAAGTAAAATATTTTTTATTCAATTTTTATATATTTAAAAGAAAAATTATAAAAATAATTACACAATTTTTTTATTTAATTTCCATTGCAAAATAATTTTAAAATAAATCATTTTGATAGTTTCCATAAAATTATTTCAAAAATAAATATAAAAAATTAAAAAAAATTAAGTTAGAAATTCCAACATTTTTTTTTTGGGTAATTCCATTGGAACTTTAAAAAAGTCCGTCCAAAAAATTCCACAAGATTTGTTTCCCTTTGAAAAATTTTCTTGCAAAAAAAAAAAAAAAAAAAAAAACCACTAGAATATTGTAATCCAAAATTCATCAATAATTCAATTTTTTCCTAAAATTTGGTATACTCAAAAACTTTTCCTCCGAGAAGAATATAAATGGGAATTTTTGCTCCCTCAAATATTCCAACAATAGTTCCAAATTTTGACCAAATGTCCTCTCTCTCTTGAAGGTATTTCTCTCCCCTTCGAATCTCCATCATTTATATCTCCTACATCTCTCTTAACCACTTGTTTTTATTCCTTCTCACCTCTTCTCTCCGTTTTTTTCCCCTCTCCAATCTCTCTCTCTCTCACTACTTTCCATGTTTCTTAATTGAATCGAACAGTTTTAGAATTTATTTTTTATTTTATTTTATTTATTTAAGTGTCAAGCTGTTTATTTTATTTACTTGAATGATTAACTTTTGAATTTTTTTAATTTAAGTATATAGTATCATCTAATACTCGTTAAATACCGGCATAACTAGTATTAACTAATAGGTGATTGTTTTATACTATTATGTGGTAAAAAGTGGGATCGGCTCGAAATTATAAAAATTACAATTTTAGTACCCAACTTTGAATTTTTATTTTATTTAAGTATCTAATTTTTTATTTTATCTATTTGAGTATGTAACTTTTGATTATTATTATTCTTTTATATTTTAGTAAATTCCTTCACATAAGACTCGTTAAATGTTAGCATGTTTGATATCAACTAATATGTAAACATCTTATACTAACATAAATCAAAAAAAGGGGTCTCCTTTGAAATTATTGAGAATTTCATAACCCAAATTTTTCCTAAATTTTTATCCCTTTCATCCTTTTTTTTTCCTTATCTTCGTTTATTTATTTATTTATTTGTTCCTTACTTTCATTTTTATTTTGTTTCATTTTGGAGTTTCCAATAAACAAAAAAGAAAAAAAGAATCTAAATACATAAAATACAAAATAACAAAAAGTAATTACATAAGGGACATGATTGAATAAAATCAAAACTGAAATTGAAACAATTAAGGATACAATTGAAATAATTGAAAATCTCATAGCTGAAGTTACAAGATACATGGATGACATGCCTATATGATATAGTTGAAACAAAACAAAACCTACGGGAACCTAAATTAACACAGGACACGAACGACGGACCAATTCAAAATCCATCCGAAGCGACCCGTTGTTCAAATCCTCCCAACTCTGCCATGGCAAGCCAATTTCATACTACACCACCCTTTAGCACTCGTTCACCTCCATTGATAGCCGGAGGGACAAACCACAACTTGCACTTATAGCTCTTGCATCTATACTAACTCTGTATAAGCCAAAACACCCAATAGGCAAAGCATAACACACAAAAATAAAACATAATTTTTTTGGCTTTGTTTATATAGAAACAAAATTGACGACAAGCTTGGAAAAGATTGTCGGTTGTGGGAGAATTTAGGATTTATGGGAATTGATCCTAAGAGTGAGCATGGGATCTTTGGGTATAAATGGAGGTCCAATTAGGGTTTTTTAGAGGAAGGAAAGGGAGACAAAATAGAATTATGGGAAATCTCGGAGCCATTAAGAGAGAAATAATTAAAAGGAACAAGAAAGGGATTGCAATAGAATAAAGAGGGAAATAATTTGGATCAATAAAGAGGTACAAAAGACATAAAGAAGTAGCGAGAGAAATTTAGTGGTTTTAGATTCTTATTGAACGGTTAGAAGGGGAGATTCGTAATTAGTCAAGATATCTTGGCAAGTTTTTCCTTTCAATTTGCAATCACCCCTTGCATCTATGTAACCACTAACTACTTCAAAATGAATTATGGCGATGACATTCATCACTGTCATCCACTAGAACCCTCGTCTCTTTCAATTTCTCACACAATCTCATTAGGATTGGTCTCATTAGGATTGGTAAGTAAAGGGGATTTGAATGACTCGTGAGGGTTAGATTTTAGGATTATTAGGTCAATTCTAGGTTTAGCTTTCAAATTTAGGGTTGAACTTGATAAAGAGGGTGACTTGGGTCTCAAGGATTCATGAGATAGGAGAGAAAACCGGGATTCAAGATTCAATTCTAGGTATTCTAGGTTTGATTTCAAGTTTCAATCAAGGTCAAGATTAGGTAAAGATAAGAAATGGATCTAGGGTTCAAGATCCATAGGTTGATAAGTAGAAGTTAGCCAAAGTTTTAGAGCAACTTAGGAGAAAAGACGGACGAGGGACTCAATTTTTTTAAGAGATCGATTTCTTAAAGAGGTTAATTGAACGAGAGAGAGAGAAGATGACTTTGATTAGGGTTTCTAGGCTCAAGAGAGAAGAGAAGAGAAGAGATCAAGTAGGGATGAGTAATCAAAGGATACAATTATGAGAAGAGAGGATAAATT